AATATATATCCATTAAATATATAGATTGTAAGTAAAGGCATGAAGCCAAATGAGAAATTAAAGTTAATTCAAGCTTTAAATATAACAAATGTTATGGGAAGTTTAGATTATGTAAGTAATAATATACCGATTAAGATAATCAAATGACAATTAAGAATTTTCAAAAAATAATTAATTTATATACTATTAAATTATATCTAAAAAAAAGTCCGATGATATAGTATTTGTAGAACATGTTGCAAGGCTAACCAATGTTTTAGGTGTAGAATTGTGTAAAATATGGGAAGGTGTAAGTTAAATATGTATATATATTTATTAATACATCAAAGTTACTAATTATTATTATTATTATTATTATTATTATTATATATAGGCAGATCAAGAAACAAGAAATGTTGCATATAATCAGATAGAATATTTACTTGAATTTTTATTAAAGTTTCTTGCAGATGAATATGATGATACTTCATCTGCTGTTTTTCCTTTTGTAACTGCATTTCAATCATTAGTAAGCTTTTCATGATTATTTATATCTTGTCCTTTTTTTATAAATAATAATAATAATAATAATATTTTTCTAAAGTTAAAAAGACAAAAAAAAATAGCAGGTGAACTTACCGGTGAACAAAGAGAGTTTCTAGCTTCTTTGTTAAAAGTCGTTATTATAAAGATGAAATATGATGAATCAACTGAATGTAATGGATCAGATGAAGAAGCTGAAGAAGAAGGTGAATTTTTAGAAATGCGAAAAGTACATAATTAATTTTATACATTTACAAATTTATCATTTTATTTATTATTTAAAATTTTCACTGACATTTTATTTATTACCAGTATCTGAAACAATTTTTTGATGCAATTCATAATATGGACGAGCCAATATTTACTATGTTTGTTCATTCAGCTATAATCAATACTTTAGAAAATTATCAAAAAATTGGTAATGAGTCAGATTGGAGAGATTTAGAGCTGAGTTTACATGTATTATGTTTATATGGCGAGGCTCTTAAAGGATCAATGTCATTTGCTTTAAAACAAAACAATGATGCTGTTGCTTTATCTCCTTTAGGTGAAATGATTCTTAAAATGTTCCAATGTAGTAAGTAAAAAAAATCAAATATAATATTTTATCAATCTCGAACTTTATATAAATAAATAAATATTCTTGTCTCATTTATAAATGCAATTCAATGTTGTTTATTTTAGATATTTTTACATATCCACATCCATCAATCATTTTAAGTTTTTTTGAAATTGTTGTTCGTTACTATCAATTCTTTGAAATCCAACCCGAATATATTCCAACAGTTTTAAAAACATTTATTGATATACATGGTCTACATAGTATTAATTTACAAATTCGTTCTAGATCTTGGTTTCTTTTCTATAAATTTGTTAAATCACTCAAATCAAAAATGAGCAATTATGTGGAAACAGTCTTGAGAAGTATTCAGGTAAATAATTTATATATGTGCATGCGCGTGTGTATCATTTATTTGTATTTATATTTTATTATATTTATTATTTTTTTTTAACAATAAAACTAGGATTTATTAATAATTCCAATAGATCCAGCCGCAATTGATATAACTGATGAACTTTTATTAACTAAAGAAAAGGCTATGGATAATACATTTGCTAATCAATTATATTTATTTGAAACTGTTGGAATGCTGATTACAATTGATTCTGTTCCTGTTGGAGTTCAAATGGAATATTCAAAGGTGCTTTTTAAAAAAATTTACACTTTTTTGTTTTATAGGTTACTTTTTCTTACCCTTTTTTTTTTTTTTTTTTTGATAGGTTACCATCGGCCATTTACTTGCTGAATTACAGCGAAATCTTGAAACGGACTTGAAAGATAAATATACAATTCTCCAAATACATCATTTGATGATGGCAATTGGTAGCATAGCAAAAGGTAGTGTATAAATATAATTTATAAGAAAAAATCAATTTATTTTTTCTAAACTATTTATTTACAATTAATCTTGAATTTCTAGGATTTCCTGAGGTGTCAAAAGGGGTAGCACCAACAGCCCCTTGGGTTGATTTTATGAAACAAACAACTGAGGCTATTTTAATAGTCTTGAAATCTCTTAGCAGCGAGGAAATTATCCGAGATTCTGTGAGATGTTTTTATTTTTACTTATAAAAACTTAATATTTTATTTATATTTATATATTTATATTTGAAAAACAAAGGCAAGATACGCTTTTGCAAGACTTGTGAAAGTTCTTGGTATAGAAATATTGCCATACCTTCCACCTTTAATTGATGGACTGTTGAGTGAAAGCAAAATTTCAGAACTTGTAGATTTCCTACCATTTATTGGATTAATTTCA